CTTCAGCGACTCCACAGCAAGCACCTACTTTGCCTCTGAGGGAAACTGAGGCAGGCAAGCCAAACGACTTGTCTGCAGGCCCAGCGAGCCGGCAGCAGAGCCCATGTCCTCGGCTCCCATCCTTGGAACACCGGGCTGCTCTCACCGTGACCCGCTGCATCCCAACGGGAAAGCAGCTGGCAGCATCACTGCCCGCTTGGCCGAGGTCAAGAGCAACTTCAGCGTCAAGCGGCAAACATTTAACCCAGCATCTTCTCTGGGAGGCAATCGCCAGTGCGGCACTTAAATCAGCCCTGGGCTTTCCGGGGAGGGATCCGAGCCGAGGATATTTCTCTTGCTAGGAACACACCACCCCCTCGCCCACAGTCACTGCTAAGTGCAAGATGTGGTGAAAGTCTTTAAAAATAGATATATTCCCAAGCAATTCATGCCGCTTGCATCTGGCAGGGCAAACCTAGCATGGAAGCTCTTTCTTACTGACTAAAAAGGATCGTTAGCAGCTCGAGGCTCGTGCAACCTTGACTCTCTTCCTTTCTTCAGGGCCTTCTCTTGTTCTTGGCCTAAACTAGTCCTGGGAAACACAAGGGAAGCCCTGCCCAGCTAAGCTGGTGTCAAAGGCAGGGAAAGATACTGCAGTGCAGTGCTGATCTCTTCTGCAATCGGACGTGCAGACTAGCCCGAATGCTGAGTCAGCACAATTTCTTTTTTGATTGGTTGATCTGAGTAACATATTTTCAATGTATGCTAAAGGGGCAGCAATTAATACCTTTTCCCCCTTTCCCCACTTTTCCAAACCACTTCGAATCGAATACACAAATCTCACCCCCAAAGTCACTCTCTGGTCCTAAATATTCTGAGGCTCTTTCATTTTTAATTTAGGGCATTAAAAAAAAAAAATTTGCAATCTAAGCGATGCTCACTTTGATCGACTTGTGCTGCTGCAGCTAAAATATCTGTCCTGCAGGTCAATCTAATCATGCTTAATAGCAGTTTATTCTTCAACGCAACATTTTTCACGTCGGGTAGACAGTTTTAAATGAGATTGCTGATGCACCCCTTTACTAATGCTTTTACCAGGGCCAGCACATCCCTTGAAATACTTGTGCAATAAAATGCTTTATTGCTCTTGATGAATGCACTATTAAACTTGAATTGCAAACATGCCCCCCCCTTTTTTTTTTTAAAAAAAAAGAGGGTGCTAGAATTTATGGGACCACCTGTCTTCCAACATTAAGTAATAGTAACAACGGTAATAATAGATCATCAATGTAACAAACACACAAAAGTAAAAAAAAAAAAAAAAAGAAAAACCCGCCTGGGAAATCCGCATGGCACAAATTTGTCCCTGTGCTCTCATGTGCACGTGCAAAATATCCATCTTATACCTGCCGGTAGTTCCGCTTACATGCGGAGAATTCATCTCGAGAACGGCTGGATTTTGTGAGGCATAGAATAGAAAAATTTAACTAATTTGGTCCACTGGATTTATGGCTTTTACAATTCTCAGAGCTCCTGTTTCCATGCCTGGCACCGCGCAGTCCTCGGCTTGCAGGATGGATGGGCGCACCTGAGCATCCCAGCGCTGCGGGTCCAGCACAGATGCTCCTTGCAGCATGCCCACCATGACACTCAAGGCCAGGAGATGCTCACCAGTTTAGGAAGAGTGTAAGAGAAGTGGTTTTTTTTTTAGCTATCAAATAGAGCGGACCTAGTGCAACGTAACAGCCACAGTTTTAATCCGAAAGGCGTTAAACGGATGAAGAGCTGCCATGAAGCGGAAGAACGGCGCAAACTGGTTGACAAAGGCCTGCAGCCATCACCTGCTGCCATCAATGCCAACAGCAGTGGGCTACCATGGCTCTTGGGGGGCCACACACACCCCAAGTCATTTTTAGCATTGCCCAAGCCCAGCTGACACAGGCCATGGCAAAGCCTCCCCTGCTACCTCCGCTCCCATGCTGCGAGACAGCGCTCAGAGTTATAGCTTTGAAAATATTTACATAAAAAATAAATCTGAGCACTTAGTGACTTCCTAAAGTTAGCAATTCCATGTGATTAACAAGCGTATTAATTCAGAGAGGCGGGGGGAAGGAGATAAAAATTGCATTACAAATGCAGGTATCTACTGTAAATCAGACCGCGAGCACCTTTGCAAGAGGAATGCACAGTGCCACAGGGGTTTTAGTAAAACCTGCACTGAGAAAGAAAAAAAAAGGAAGCAAAAAGAAGAAAAAAGAAAATTTAAAAAAAAAAAAAGGAAAAAAAACCCAAAAGGAAAAAAGAGAAAAAAGAGAAAAGGTAGAAAAGGAAAGAAGAAAGAAAAGGAAAGGAGAAGAGGTGGGGCAAAGGGTCAGCAAGGAAAAGAGGGAAATTTTATATATAAATTATATATAATATGTATAATTTGTAATGCTATGTTATATCCAGAATGGTGACAATTGTCCTCTTTTTTTATCCAGAGAGTCAAGGTAACATTGGTGATTTAGAAGGGAGTGAAACTGCAGTCCTCCTTGGACACCGGTGCTTTCCTGCTTGGGCTCAGCTGATTTCCCATCATTCACCAGCTTCATATTTAAATCTGACCCCAAAATGGGGCAGGACACCCACAGGATCCCATCCTTGAGGGGACATGGGGGCCAGGGATTGTCCCCATTCAGGGTGACTGCTGGTGGGACCGAGCCCAGGGATTGCTGCATCGCTGCAGCCAGGTCCTGAGGGACTTCACCGCAGCCAGTCAGGAACACCCCAGCTTTCCAGGGCCCAGCATAACCAGCGCATCCGAAAATGCAAATAGGATGATATGCAAACCAGCCATTCTCCAGTACAAACTCGGCCTTCCCAAAGCCAACTGCCAAAGCAAAGGCTCCTCCTCTGCTGGGAAGGGGTCAGCGCTGCCCACGCCCCCATCAGCCATGGTATTTAATTTAAACAAAAACCAGCCACAATAAACCCCACCAAATCCTACAGGTAGGAAATCTCCCCCACAGCCCAACCTGCCTTTTCTCACCCACTCCTCACGAGAATCTGACTACAGTTAAATCCCCTTTGGCGTACCTGTAACAAGTGATGACGGTGCTCACGGTGAACGGAGATGGATAAAGACTCCCCAAAATCCAAGTTCAAAGTCTTGCCTGCTCCCCGTGCTCAGGGGGAGGATGCTGCGATCGGAAAGACCTAATTAACCTCTGCTGCCATGCCATGGCACCACACCTGCCAAATGATGCCGTAGGAGCCCATGAGCAAGATGAAGACAAGGTTGCAATTGCAGGGAAACCACTCCAAAGAAAAACGCTGCCCTCAGCGGCCCCATGGACATGGAAAAAGGACTTTGGGCAGCTGGGGAGCGGCTTTCTGAGGAGTTCAACTTTGTACATCGTTAGAACATCGTAGAAACGCAAGGAAATTTGGGGATGAAAGCTTTAAACCCTCAGATGCGGCTCCCATCTAGGCAGAACGTTAAACTGGTCGTTAAACCAAATTTCTTTCATCTTGTCATATTATTGTACTATCTCGGAAAAATAGCCAACTGTTTTACATTGGAAAAGGTTAAATGGAAAAGGCTTCCAGAATGAAAGGATCTAATTTTCTTGTTTTCCCTGGGGAAAATAAGATCCCTATATTCAGAGCACTCCTTTGGCTTTAGCTGTGATCCACTGACTGGATGGCTCATCGCACAAAAAGGAATATCTCCTTCTCGCCAGTTTTAAGCACAAAAAGTTGTAATGTGGGAAAGGTTTGAAAAACGGAGTTTGCACACCAATTTAAAGCTAAAATACCGCACGCCCGAGTCACAACTGTTGTATTCTTTTCCTCTCTCTTCTTCTCCCCCCACCCTCCCTCTCCTTTTGTTGTTCCTAGATTTAAAGATCAGCCAGCTCTATTTGTTATCTAGCCTTAATATCTGGGGTAAAAAGGGTCGATGGGGAAGCAGGAAAAAGGAGAGGTTGGCCTGCATCCCTGTTAAAACCCAGGAGCGGACAGCCAGCTTTCCTCTGGCATCGCCTTTCAAAGCCCATGCCGCAGTCAGCATATTGAATATTTAATGTCCTGATGAGCATTTCCACCTGCTGACACAGGCAAAGTGACAGAACAATACACGCGCTGGAACAAGATCATCAATTGACTCCCCAGTCGGTCTGCCGGGTCAGGCAGTTAAAAAAAATAATAATATAAAATAATCTGTCTGTCTTTCTCCCCCGCCTTGGCCGGGGTCACACACTGCTCCTCTGAGAAGGATTCCCACCTGAAATACATACTTCTTTACATTCCATAGCTTGCCAGGTTCATATGGGCATATAAAGAAGTATGTCTCTCAAGCAGGTAGTTTCAATATGCGCATTTATATGGTCACAGGAGGAAAAATAGCGCTGATTTACAATTTACATCCTGAGAGTGAGTTACGGCTCAGTTCAAACCAGCAGACTTTCCTCCTGCCCAGCCCATGTGCAGACACACACACACACACCAGCTCCTGATCCTGGCCGGTAATGCTGGGCTGAGCCCTCAGCAGATGATGGATTTTGGATCCTGGGAAAGGGGAACTGCGTAATTCACTGGACACCAAGCAGCAAAGGTCCAGTTGCTGCCCTGGCAGGGGCTCTTTGAAACGTAAAAGACACAGGGTACAAGCCAGCCTCCCACTCCACCTAAAAAGTAGGTGTTTCATTCAAAATCATAAACTTTCAGCATTTAAAAAAGACCAAAATGTGGTTTAGAGGAAAGGCTTTCCTGTATATGCATACAGGTATAATTTCAGACAAAGCCATGTGGGAGAAAGTTACATACAGATGAATTCCCAGTTGCCTACATCCTATAATTTGGAAGCAAAAAGCCAGTTCGTTTTCAGAAAGCCCAAAATCAAATGGCCATCTACTGATTTACAAACTGACACCGGGAAGGACTGTTCCATTTGCCAGAGTAAGAGAACTCATCAGCCCCAGACAAGCAATTGCTTTATCAGTAAGTAGAAATTAAAGCATAGGAAGAAGAAAGCATCTTACCTAGTGAATCCAATGATTTTTCCTCTTCTGGTCACTGGAAGTGAGACACTACCCGCAGACAACCAACCCCCAAAAGATATCACATGCCTTTTGGGGAGATCAGGGCGTTAAAAAACAAAAAATAATTAAAAATTGCTCCTAATAATTCATCCGGTTGAGCTCCACGCCAGCTAAGGGGCTTTGGGAAGACCTGCAGACATAAAAGGCAGCCAAAGCGAGGTTCTGGGAGCTCGGGCCAAGTTCTTCCCGAGTTCTTCCCGCAGCCCCCGTGGGCTGCGCTCCCCGCACGCCGCCGCACTGTGCACCCGTGGGGCTCGGTCCCGCACGCAGCCCTGGCTCTCCCCCTCTCCCTCGCCTCCTCGCAACCGTGCTGAGCTTTAAAGCTCCCTGAACAATGTGGGCCGAGTGGCAGGGCTGCGATCGCCGCCCGGGCTGAATGGGAGACTATAATGGGCAGGATTTAGGCAGGAGCGCGGCGGAGGTCACGCCGGGCGCTGCCTGCTCGCTCAGCAGGGCGGGCAGGGTCCCTCACCAGCGCCCGCCGCCCCTCGCCCGCCGCTGCCCACGATCGATACCAATTTACAGGCAAATGGGGAATGGCTGCCTCCGTGTTAATGAATTTTACCGTTTCTCACAGTCTTCTAATGAACCCTTTAAAGAGGGTTTAAGTAAACTTAGCAAGTGGCAAACTAAGCACTTTGGAATACCTAATTGCATCGATGCTTTTCACTGCTTTTTTTAAAATATCACTGCCAGCTGGGGAGTAAATACTTCCCTGCTGCCCATCGACTTCCAGCACCACTGAAAAGCAAAGGCCGCATGGTGCCGGGGTGTAAATCCTCTGTGCTCAGCCCCAACCCCCAAAATGGCTTTACACCCCTCATGCAATACTGGCACATGCCTTGGTCCTGGCTCTGTGCAGCTTCCCCCTCATTCCCTGACTTTGTTGGCCGTTTTAACCATCATTATTTGTCTCATTTAAAGGCAAATTTCAACCTTTAGTTTGGATTAAGGGGAAGAGAGATGGAGCTGTGGCACTGGTGTAATGCATGACTGCAGTGAAATTAAAGCAAAGGGAGAGCTGAGGAGTGTGAGGGAAAGTCTGAGTGTCTCAGATTAAAAAAAAAAAGAAGCCCAAAAAAACCAGCAAAAATCAAAGTGCTCGTGGTGAGGTGTTGCCCAGCCAAGGCACTCCATGGTATTGAATTTCCTTCAGACCAACAGCAGTAGAACAGCTACTGGATTCTTGGAGCACTAAACACCTGCACCTCATACCCTATTTGATTTCTTCAAATGCATTTGACATGGGCTGTCCTGAACAGTCCCCAACTTCTACGGACAAGAGGGACAGCGACTGCCAGCCACTAAAGCAAGTACTATGTAAGAGCTAAAAAAATGACCTTTTAGATCCTTACTAGAACTGAAGACAATGACACAACCACAGCAGCAAAGTTCGTCCTGGAGATTTAAACTTGCTTTGAGGTTCTGGGTGTAAGCTCATGCTTTCCAGGGTTGTGCCTTTTGGTCGAGAAGCAAGTAAATGGTGTGATGGTGTTTTTAATGTGACATCAGAGGCACCCTGTGGATCCCATCTTCCAGCTACCACCAGGAGTAAGTGGTGGTGGGTGAACATAATCCACCATACTCAACCCACCTGGGTTCTCTGAGCTCCTGTGCTTGCTCTTGGCCAAAAAACATGCGCAGTAAAACTGTGGCTGTTCTGGGGAGAAAAATGGATGGAGACCTGAATCATGCAGAGGCAAAGGGGCAAATAAAAGGGGAGGGAAGGGCCTGAGGTATTGCCTGGAGACGGAAGGGGAAGGAGCTTGGTGAGAAGCATGGAAAGCAAGGTCCTGTATATTATATTCATGCACTGCCCCAGGCTCCAGGCGCTGCTCAGGTCCAAGTGGCAAAGTCAAATGGAAGATGTGCAGCACAAAAGTTTGGGGACAGCCTGTATCTAGGGCTGGGCACCGGAGAAGGGAGACACAAGCGGGGCCGAGGTGGAGGCATGCGCTGGCCCCATTGCAGCCTGTGGCAGAGAGGCTGAGCTCAGACCTTGGGAGCCACAGACACAACCACCCGCTCGAGAGGATCCCAGCAATTAAACTGACAGCACAAATCACAGATTTCTGCCTAGACAATTACACACGATTGCTGAGTGCACGCTCCCTCTGGCACAGACATATATACCTGTATCCATACTCCACACACAGCCTGGAGATGTGTTGTACCTGGATGATATGTTACACCTGCTTATGTATAGGATTTATATACCTATGCATAAAGATGCGTAAAATATCCATATGCGCGCTATAAAACAAACCTAAATCTATGTGTGTATGCACCACAGTATCCATCTCACAAAACTGATGTCTATATATTCATGTGACTAGGTATCACCACTATCATATAAAATATAATGACCACAGTCAACTCTGAGCTGCAGAAGCAATAACAGTCAATTGATGCTACACTTCATGTAACCTGAATTCCAAACCCTTGCAGGAAAGCCTAACTTCTCCTCCTCCCCATATTCCCTTTCTGATCGTCCACAAGCCACGCGCCTGTAATTAATACTCATTTCTCGGCATTTTAACAGTTAATCACCACAGCATTGAGATTATTGCAAGTTAGGCTAAGTTTAACCACATTTCACCCTTTTGCTCTGCCTGGTATCAGCTCATAGCACTAGTTTGTTGCAAATAAATAAATAACGCCCCAATCCCCCCAGGTGTCATTAGCCAGCCTGTGTCTGAATTAGGCATTTAAAGGCCGGTTTAACCTTGCAGAACGGTTGCATGTCAAAGTTCTAACATTTCAGCTCAGATTATTCTAGTGCACTGCTTGCTCTGCAGTTTGTTAGGTGTTTTTTTTTTTTAAATGCGGAGTATGCCACAGCAGAACAAAAAAAAAAAGGGGGGGAGGAGGTTTCCTAACCGATCCACAGATTAAACACACATCCAGCACACCCCACACAGATACACACACACACATACATTTGCCGGATGCAGAAGCCCACATTTAAGTCCCCGGGTAAGTTGGATGGGCACTCAGTCCTGCATTGGCCAGGAAAAGTGTTTAAACCAAGCTGAGCTGGTAGCAGTTAAAGGCAAGGCAGGGAGCAGAAGAGAGGGGGGAAAAAAAAAAAAAGACATACCAGTTAGGAGCTTCTGTTGCAGCAGAGGACTCACCAGAGCACTAGCTGAAAGCTGAATCAGCTTTCGAGAGTTAGGGATGCATAGAGGAGGGTCATGGAATCACAAGGTAATAATGCGCTTCATGCTGCAGCCGTCAGCCTTCTCCTTATAGCCAATCTCTAATGCAGGAAGGGAACAGAGAGCAGGCCCAGGGATGGGATTAGTCCTCACTTGGAGAGAAAAAAAAAAAAAATTAAAAAAAAAAATCGCCAGGCAAACCCTCCCCTCCCACCCACCCTTACCTCGCCCCCGCCGCCCGGCACCGCCACAACTCCATCCCTCCATCCCCGCCGCTGCACCGCATCGCAGCGCGGTGCCGCGGGGTGCGGGGAGGCAGCGCGGTGCCGCGGGGGCTGCGCGGGGCGGGCGGGGAGCGCGCTCGGGCAGCTCCGCGGCCAGCCGGGGGTTAAGGAGCAGCCACGGTGCCCGCCTGGATTGCAGCACACCTTGATGCGAGAGGCTGCGCCGGCACAAGTGCCTGCGCCCCCCCCACCCCTTCTCCTCCTCCTCCTCCTTTTCACATTCCCCCCCCCCCCGGGGGTCAGCCCGGGCTGGGGGTCAGGCTGCGGGGGGATACACAGGGCTGGGGGGGGCTGGCTGAGGGAGGGGGAAGCTCTGGTCAGGACGCGAGTCCACCTTTCCAGTGCTTATATACCCAGCGAAGCATCCCAAACACGCACCCCCGGGCGAGCGGCCCCTGCTCCTGCTCTTCCCTCCCTGACCATATTTAGTCAACCACGGCAAAAAATAGCCCGTCAGCTGGAGCCTGCCGAGCAGGGCTCGGAGTTCAATCGCTCCTCGCAGCCCATTGACTACTGGTCCTGCAGGGTCCTGACTCTGCCTTTTTTTTCCCCTCCGCTATTTTTAGCTAGGCCAAATAAAGAGGGAGCTCATCTTACTATTCTCCACCGGCCCGAGGTTTCTCGGGGCCCTGGCTATGTTTGGTAAGCGCCGGTGTTGAGAGACACAGAGCGGAGACCTTGTCCATGCCGGAGAACCTTTGGCTCTCTCCTGTATTTGTTCTTTTCCTCTCCTTTTCTTTCTTTCATTTGTATTTCTTCCTTCATGGTAGAAAGGATTCTGGGTGAGAAGGTGGGGAAGAAGCTCAACGGATCCTGATTTTCATGTTACAGAGGGAAGAACTGGCTTTAAAAGACCTCACGCTGGGGCCAAGTCCTTCACCACAAGGTCCTGGGCACCTCATTGTCTGGCCACGTCTGTCCTTCCGTGTCTCCAAAGGTGCTGAAGGTTGGGAAGGCGTTGGATTTTCTGCCCTACATGGAGAGCACTAGGGAGCCTCGTTGCCAGCCAGGGAAACCCCTCTGTCACAGTGGGTTAATGTGGGTCACCAACACAGTGGTGTCTCCTGGGTCTTGAGGTCATGGGATCTTTCCAGCCTCCAAAGTTTCATCCAGCAGTACAGCAACGAGGGAAAATTTTGGCAGTGGAGGCACTGCCCTTGGCTGGCATCCAGAGAAGCAGGTGAACAACTATAGAAACTTGAGTTAGACCCAGCTTCAAAATAAAGATGTCCAGAGACCTGGGGAGGTCACTCGGGGAGAGCAGATAAATGATGACAGACATGGCATTGGCTGCGTTCAGCCAACCCGTCCTGCTTGCTTGCAGCAGATCCCTGTTCAGGACAACCTCCTGAATCCAATGGAGCATTGCCCTGCTCACCCCAGGTCTCTGCACCTCATCAAGGCTCACCCAGAGGGACCATGACACCTCCCCAGACCCCAAGAGCACCTCATGCTGCTGGCAGACCACTCCTGTGGGCAGGCTTTGGGGGATCAGGGCTGGAGAGACTGGCATCTGCCAATGGATGTTTGGGTGGTGGTGGTTGGATGTGGGATTGGAGTGGGAAGTTCACATGAACCCCAGTGAGGTTCCCAAGACCCTCTGCTCCCATCAGTGACCCATGAGCGTGGAGTGGTGTGTGACAGAGACGCCCACCCACAGGGTCTGTGCGCTGCTGCACTGTGATCCCAACGGATACCTCCACTTAGGACATCCGTGTGAGCCTGTCAGGCAACACTCGTCTGAGGGTGTTGTACTTGCTGGGAGCTGATAGCAAGTCATCTAAGGATGGGAAATGCCTGCAGGAACCACCCCATAGTGCCACGAGGTGGGGAGGGCTCCCAGGAGATCCCAGCGGTGCTTCCCGTGCCCTCATGTCTGAGGTCCCCAGCTCTGAGGACGATGCCAGAAATAGCCACTACGGATGACACGTCTGCTCTCTGTCCTGGGCTGCCTTGGCTCTTTCTCTGTCTCAGACGACGGGTCTCCTGAACCCACTCTGGAAACCTGGATTTCCCTCTGCCGCCTCCTGGTCCCAAAGACAGGCTGTACCCCACTGTCACTGTTCGGATAGCCCAGGACAGGGTGTGTGGCAGCAAAACCATGAAATCTGGTGTCCCTGAGGTGCCAGCTGACAACATAGAGCAGAGCTCTGTCTGACGCCAGGGACCAAACCCACCACTCCCCACAGGACTGGCAGTGGCGACAGAACCTGTAGGAAACCCTCTACCCCTCTTCCTCTCTTCTCTACCCCAACATAGTCTTTGTGACCACCAGTGTCCCCTCTGTACCTTCAGCTCATTTCCCTCTGGAACAGATGGGAATTTCCCTGCAATGACATAAACCGCTGTTGGGTTTTTTCCTTCTGTTTTCCATCACTACAGGGATGTCCAAGCTGCTCCCGCTCAGATATCAGACAGGACTGTCAATGCTTTCCCAGCCCATGCCCTTTCTACAACTGAAGCCGTGGAAGCCCTTCTCCACTCTGACTCAACCCAGGATCACCACAAATTCATCTGAGAACACCTTTACCCAAAATACCAGCCCAGCCAGCACAGAATAACATTGCCTATGACCCTCTGGGGAACACTTGGGGTTTTGAGAACCCAAGTGCCAGAAGCGACAGGCTCTCATGCTGGTTTGGGGCCCATCTGAAATCACAAAGTCCCCGGGGTGTGCAGCTGCCTGTGCCCCAGCGGGACCCTGCCCCGGCGGCAGGGGAGCTGTTAAGAACCACTCACTATCACAGGCACAGTCGTGCCCTTGTTTGGATTGAGTTGTTATCACATCCCTGACAGGTTCCCCAGGGTTGAGAATCCATCCCGGCACCAAGATATGTTGGGAACAGGAGCAAACTATAAACGGAGATGAACCAAAAGCAAACCTCTGAGACGCGAATTAAGAGATCATTTAAAACCCAAACCTGCTTTTTGCACACTGATTTCTTCCCCTCACTAATTGCTCTACAACCACACTCGCCCTTGAGCTCTCAGGGACTAAAATATCTGCATTCCTCTCCAAAATGTGTGGCATCTTTTTATCAGGACTTGGTTTGGAGCTTGCTCCATACACCGATAACACTGGGAGTTTGGCATGCAGAGACTGCCAGGAGAGATGGGGCCTGAATGTGCAACCACCACAGCCTGACAGGCTTTATATATATATATTTGCACATGCATATACATATATGCCTAATAATAATGTATTCATGTGTGCACATAATAATTCTGCATTTAAGCTCCTTTAACCAAAGGAACCTGAGGAAGCCGCACAGCAGACTGTAAAACTGAACCAGTTCAAAATGATATGTGAGAGATTGCAACACTCCAAACAAAATGCAAGTTGTTACTTTAAAAGAACCAGGCTCGGGCTTTTGAATTTATGTAACCTAAACTGATTTTGTCTGTTTGAAATTGTTGTTGCGTGTTGGGAATCTCAAAGAGGTGAGGAGCAAAGCTGCAGACTTTTCCTTTGGAGTCCAAGATTACAAGCCCCTTTGCCTCTCCCTCCGGCTCCAAAGCTGTTAATGGTTTGCTTCATTTTATTAACAGCAGACAAGAAAAAAAATTCTTCCTCAGAGCCTGTGTGAGGTGACAAGTTGGATAATAACAGCTCCTTTGGAAGTTTTTATAGTACATTAGGCAAATATAGTGGATGTTTATAGACTTTTAAAAATGCTGATTATATAAAAATGCATTTATAACCTTCTAAAATACCAAGCTACTGTAATATAATTATTTCCAATAATAAAAAACTAAAAATGCAGATTATTGGCCCAATTAGAGCAATTTTTTAATTGATTTCTGGTTTTCTTTGGGCCAAAATCTGATCTCAAACCAAAGACTGGCCAACACCCTGTGATATGAGTCAGGTCAATCAGGTTTTCACATCCTGCAGAAGATGCTGCACTGTCCTGGGATGAAGCCAAACTGACTGAACCATGCACCCCACTCACTTTTCCAGCACCCCCTAACACCTCCAGCTTGAGGGAGCTTCTGGAAAAGCTGGGCATCTCCTGGCAACCTGCTGGACCAGCCACCTTCCCACCTCACTGGTGGTGAGGAGGCGCTTGGTCACCCAGTGGTTGGTCTTCCTCTGTTCTCTGTAAGAACTTGTATGAATAATTAATTTATTATTGGCACAGACTCGAATGTGGCTCTGTCCTGTTCCTAGCTGATAAGGTTGCTGGGGATGTGCTTTCTCTCTCTTTTGTCTTTTTTTTTCTTGCTTTGACCCGAAATTCCATCAGTAGGTAGAATTAGCTTTTGCCAATGGCAGTTGTCTCAATACAGATAAATTCTTTCAAGAAATTGAGGTCTTGACAAATTGGCATGTCCCTACCAAAAAACACCCCAAACACTTAGTGAAGAATGAGTTATTCTTTATTTTATAAAAACAGTCTTTTTTTCTTGGCTTTATCTTTTATTAATAATTGGAAAAACCAATTCTGAGCTTTGGAGCTGCCTGTGAAGTCCCCCAAGTCGTCATGAGATCGGGCTATTACACCCTAAGATATACATTTTGACTGTAAAGAAGAGTGTTTATTTCAATTTCATCTTCCTGAGGCAAAATGCTTTCCTTTGGTCATTTAAGTTCTTTTTTTTTTTAATTAAAAACACCTTTTTTTTGTTGCAGTGCAGTGTCCCACCTCTCCACTAATGGAGCACATTGCAAATTTTCCCATTAATTAAAAAATCTCAGCCCCACTGGTGAGGAAGGATGGAGGGAAGATGCTGCCTGCAGCTCTCCCACCAGATGAAAGCAGCAATTTCATCACCATTTCACAACATAACCATGCTTAAAAACATGTCTCCTAACTTCTCCCAGAGGCCAACTCCAGCCTTTTCTGCTGCACATGGATATAACACATCTGTGGGACACACACATTTCATGTGGTATGAAGGAAAAGATGGGTTGGGTTTTTTTCATTTGGTATTTCTGGCAAGAAAAAGAAAATGAAATTGTTTTCAAAACCAGTGGCAAACAGAAATTATGTTCCTTGACAGCACAGTAGTAGCAGCCTTTCTTCTCAAAATCCTCATGTGGGAGACAGCAGTGTGATGCTCTCCCTCATTTAACTGGGAAACTGAGGCAGGAGAAGGGATTGCTTTGCCTGACGAGCAAGGAAACAACTGGGGGGTGCCAGGGCTGCTTCCCTCCATCCTCCCAGTGAGCTCAGACACCTCTGGGTTTA